ATATTGGTTCTACCAAACGCTCCTTAATTACCAGTGTAAGAGAACACTGAGCATACATTCAACATGGATGGCACAGTATTGTGCCATCCATGTTGAATGTCCGCTCAGATGTCCAGATCGGATGCATATCCTTGCCATGTATGCATCTGATCCAGACATTGAGGTGGAGTTTGACAAGGCCAAAATTATTGCCAACACACCCCACCAAGACCATCTTAAATGGCTAGAAGCCATAGCCATTTATAAAGCTGGCCGCGAGACCACCTGTATCAACCGGAAGGAGGAGCTTAATCTGTCACTAGCCTGGCAGGCCCTCATAGATGCAAACCCATAATTATATCCATCAGTGCATGATTCCACCTTGTGAAATGGATTTTGTTGAAATGACATTCAATTTTATTTTAAATCTTTGTTCCATTCTGAAGCATTCTAAATCTATTTGACCTGAAGAATAACTTTGAATACTTCGAAAACGTTTGTCACCCACTGTATTTTTTACATGTGTAGCGCTACGCGATTATGTGTTATTATTATTTTTTGTCTCAGTTTCCTTTTTGTATGTATCGGGTCTTCTTGTATTGTACAATGTTGCGTGTAATTTTTGTTATGATGTCACTTCTTAAGTACCATGAGAAAAGCCTTCTGATTGGTCCAGGGTGAGTGCGTAAGGAACCAAGTCCAAGCGTTATTTTTAGTTATTTTTTATTTTGCCTTTCATTCTATTTTTGTTTGGGGCTTATGTTTTGTTACGATGAAGGTTTCCTCACCAATCTCCTTAGAAACTTAAAAATTAGAAGAAAGAGAACCAACTCGCTGATGAAAAAAAAGCACCATAGAAAAAACTTGCACACACTTGTGCACCCGAGTGGAAAAAGTATTTCCACACTGAGAAAGAAGGGGGAAGACCCCACAAGCACAACTTAGAAACTTGCTAAACCTTAATGAAGAAAACATCCTGAAAAGTGTCCTTATGTGTCTTTTTTCTAATTTTTCCCCCAGTGTCTTTCTTTTCTTGACTGTTTTCAGCTTTTATCTGATGTGATCAGGAAATTCTAAAAAATCCAACTGGCTTATAGAGTTACAATCTTTAATAATATCTGCCAAATTTTTAATTAAAAAACTAAAAGCAGAAAAAAATAACTTATTAAATGTTATGTAAAATATTATTATTTTTCAATTTTAATCAAATAAAATAGGGCATTGAATTACAGTAAATAGAAACAAGCAGATATAATATTATGAAGTAATGTTATTCATAGTGGAGATAGGTCCTTAATTTAGAATGAAGTAGCATCAGGAGATAGCTCACTTTCAAAGTAAAATGCTTTACTAATAATGTTATAAATCACAAATGTAGAAAAATACAGTGGTAACTTAACTTATAAGTTTAATTTGTTCTGTGACAAAACTCATAACTCAAATTACTCATATGTGAAAATCAATTTTCTCCCATTAAAATGCCATTAATCCATTCTGCACACCAAAAACTGCAATCTTTTGTTACATGTTATTAAATAAAAAAATATACTTATAAATAACAAATATTGTATAAAAACCAAATGAATATACTACAATAAATTGGTTTTGCAGATGTCATGGTGTTAGCTGCATAGATAAAGAAAAAGATGGAAAATTCTATAAATGCAAGATGGTGATGCTGCTCAGAACATGGAAGTAAACTAATTCCTATATCACTCAATCATGTGTTTTTTTATATGCTAAACTGTCAGACATTGGAAGAGTAATGAAAATGATGAAATTGCAGCAGTTTTTTACCTTCCTTTTCTTAATCTATGGTTTGCTGTGGCATTTCCTTACTAACTAGCAAAGGGTATCTAAAACTGGTTGATAACCCGAATATTAGCTCTCAACACAAAGGAAAAAATTGCCTGAGAGACAGCTTGTATCTCAAAAAACTCATAAGTTGGGACACTCATAAGTAAAGGTACCAATGTATATAAGCAACATTATAAACTGGAGAAATTAGATGTAGCTCATTTTAGATATATACTATTCATTTACTACATAAATTAATGTACTGTACACATCTTTAAAGTTTACTTTCTGAATAACTGAAAAATTACAAAATGTTAAACTTACATTTAAATGATCAAGTGTTTTAGTTTTAATCTCTTCACAGTCTGCATGAAGCCTTTCAAATATAATAGAATCTGCACCTTTACAATATAGCTTTAATTTTCCTTCTCTTCTGAGAATAACCTAAGAAATTATATTTTATTTGTTTTGATATACTGTATATACAGGGACATAAAAGTAAATCCAGAATTTCTTCACAGCAATCTGAAGCAGTCTTGGAGATAAGACTGTTGACAAAATACACATGCATCAAGTCACTGAAAAAAAAAGCATCGAAAACTCAACATCTGATACCAGCTCAAACATATTGTGATAATATGACAGAAGAGCTGCTATACTAGAATCGATTTGCACTGGAAAGTTGCCCTTACAAATCAAGAAGACAAGTTTATAACATAGCCAAGAAGTTCAGGGAGTCTGACAAGGAGAATTTGGTTCCTGAAAGGGTAACTCAAAATAAGTGTTCTGATTGCAAGAGAAGTATGGATTTCATAGCCAAATTGAAGAAAATTGATTAGAATGATGTGCAGGACATGCATGACCTTGCAAAAGAAATGGGTATGGCAAAGTCAGAAATCAGTCTTGGTACCATTCTTTCATCCTCAGGAATTGCCAGCTCTTGACTGAGAAGAGCAAAGAGGACAGAAAACTGACGTCCCTGCTGAACAACATCAAGTGTGACAGTGCCAGAGGACAAGGACAGGAAGGTGAATTACCAAAATGATCATTGATCTGCTAGAATGTCTTTGATGTACCTACTTTTGAAATTTGATGTGCATGATGGTACTGTACATCATCAACTTCAAATTTCCTGCCTCCGTGATGGTTCTGAGAGTTGTGTGCAATGAAGGTGATGTCATGATGTCCCACTTCTTTAGAAAGGGCTTGAGGGTAAATGCTGACTGCTACATCAATGTACTGGAGACAGTTGTGAAGCCCTGGATAGATCAAGTGGCTGCTAGAAGTGTGTTCCAACAGGACTCCATTCCAGGACTCCCACAAGGCAGATGCAGGCTTAGCTTTATTACAAACTCCTATTCCACTAGTCCGAACACTGGGCCCTCATCCAGTTCCAACTTCAATCCCTTTGACTCTATGTGTGGGACATGGTTGCAGCAATGGTAAATGTGAATCATCACAATACCAAGAATGCTCTAAAGGCTTCCATCACAGAGGCAATGATGAACATGGAGAGGAATCAGGTCAAGAGTGCCTGCAGCCATTTCAGGTCAGGCTGGAAAAAGTCACAGAAGTTAATGGAGATAACATAGAATAATTTCATTCCATATGTTCTTCACTACTTTTGTAGCAATTTTTGTAAGAATATAGATTTTTTCCCGTTTTTAATTGTTTTTCAATATCTACATTGAACAATACCGGGGTGAAGTCATCTACATACCAAAGCCTGTTACTGGTGTGAAACTCAAATAAAAAGTGAAAAGAACGAAAGTTTATTCGAATGAACTTTCAAATCGTTGTGTTCTTATTTTGTTGCATTCCATCGAAAACCACCTGAAGAAAAACCATTTCTGGTTCGAAAATGTTTGTGAAGTACTGTTTTTTTATTTGAGTTTCACACCGGTAACAGGCTTTGGTACGTAGATAATTGCTTTTCATTACAACGTAACTTTTCTGAATTTACCTCAATGACCCTGTTTGTGTATATATATAAAACACTTATTAATAATAAGAACAATATCTGTTTCAAAATGGTGACATTTACAGACATGCGCTTCCTGACATTATTAAAATCAAGTATGGCGAGCAGCTCATAATCCTGTCTCTGTCCCATAACATCAATGGATATGGTAGTAGGTGTGCGATTCTAGATTAAACAATGATTATCATCAAATTCTTGAACTCTTCCATTGATTAAAATGTTTGAGAGATGCTTACCCTGAAAACAAAGCCAAAATTTCTAGCAGCTGATGTTAAGGCAGCTTCATCAGGAGATTGAGCTTGATATTCCAAATGTCCTGAATAATATTAAACACACAACAGTTAATTTGTAAACATTTAATAAAATTATTAAAATGGAGCAAATATAACTATAAATAAAAGGTTTTTTCTTCCAATAGTAAGTCTAGTGATCTTTATTATATCTTTGTTAATTATTTGCAATAAACAGAGACCAAGATTAAAACAATTAATGAAGCCATGAACCTGAAAAGGGATTGGAAAATAATGAATAGTCTGAAATGCATAGTTAAATAGGCAAATAAAGTGAATTGTTTTAATCTTGGTCTCTGTTTATTACAAATAATTAACAAAGATGTGATAAAAATCACTAGTCTCATTATCAGAATCAGTAAAATTTCTTGGTATCATTATATTAATCAAGATTCAAAATTCTTACCATCTTTCTCTTCCGACATCACCGTGTGACAGAGGGCAAGCAGAGAAAAAAACTCATGAACATGTTGGTCCCCGTTTTTAGCATCATCTAAGAGTGCCTTGTCATAAAACTTAAAGCTTGGTTCATAGACAGGATTACTAGAGAAGTCAACAGAGGGAGTATCCTAAATTGAATTTTTAAATACAACAAAACTTCAATGTTTAGTAAATTATCTTCACATAACTAACAACATTTGTATTCAAAATAAAATAACATACCAACACCAATATCCAGCAAAAGAAATAAACTTTACTAAATAAATAAAGCACACCTATACCATGCAACAAAACTGCCACAAATAAAACACACAGAACGAGTTGAAACATACAAGGCATTCAAAGAAGGGTATGACAATTAACTTTAAAGAAACAGATTCAATCTCTACAGCCTGAAGAGCACTACATCAGTTTGCCTAATTTCATTTGGCTGTATGACCTAACAGACATGAGCAAATTCTCCATGAAATGATCTTTTTAAAAACATTCTGTCCCAACTTTCATAATTTTAATTTTGCTGTTCATTTTGTATTCTATCACTTAAACCTGAGGATGTCAATTTTAGACAGTTGAAAGCATTTGTTTTCAGTAAAATTTATTCCTTCTGCTAGATATTGGTGTTGGTGTTGTTATTCTATTGGAGTACTAAACCAGTTTTCATTCATTGACTATAGAAGATATTTTAATTTAAGTAAGCACTTTTGCATGTTACATTAGTTTCCTCAGAACATTTAGAAAAAACAATTAAATTTGATTACACAGACTCATTACTTTTATACAAATATGTATATTGACAAGACTATGTCTTGTTTATAAAATCATACTGCTATTTTATGTTATCAGCATAAAGGTATAAAGGATATCTTGAGTACATGTTGAGAGTTGATGTTTGACACAGAGTATTAGGTGCCCAAATCATTTGCGCATAAAAAAATCCAGACTCGTAGGTAGTGGGGGGACCGAGAACTGAGTCAAAATAAAATACAAAATGACAACCCTCTTCTACAAACAGGCAAAACAGGCACCTCACTCCACCGAAGTCAGGTGGGGGAGAGTACCACCCACAGTCATTCTAAGAAAACTCTGACCTTAGGACTGAACACGTAGTTTCTTCTATGTTAAATAAAATTTTTAATCTAATTTTGTAAATTTGGGAGTGCTTCAAATATGACATTAAAACAATTTTATGTTGTTACAAGTGGATTTTTCAAGTACAATTTTTCAAGTATTTTACAAGTAGTGAGTCTCCAAGACATAGTCTTGTCAAGTAGTTACAAGTAGTGAGTCTCCAAGACATAGTCTTGTCCCAAATACAGTTTTGCCATTTTATTTGTTTAATCTTATAATGGTTTGAATTAAATATAAAAAATATAGATAGAAAGAATTAATATAAATAACAGACACTGAAAATAAATATTTAAATCCTGCAAAAATAATTTTATTACATAGCTAATATTCAACTAATATTCAATAATTGATGAAAATATTAGCTTTTTGTAATAAAATAATTTATAATAAAATAATTTTTGCTGTAATTATAAATTTATTTTTGCAGTGTTTGTTATTTATGTTAATTTTTCTATCTATATTTTTTTAACCATTATAAGATTAAATATACATATTTGTATAAATGCAATATTTTTTAAATTTGAAGTTTAAAACTGTTCTAATCAAATTCTGTTGTTCTTTCTGAACATTCTAATGAAGCTTGAGTATGACAAACAAAATGCTTAATTAAATTAAATATTTTATTTCGAATTTGGGTATTGCCATTTATGTGTAAAAATTTACAAAACCTACTCACAAGGATAGGGCTAGACTTTCGGGTCCGCGCTTTGAACAAACCTTAGCCGAAACACAAACAGTTCCTTGACTAAATAATAGGGCCCACTTCTCAAATGTTTATAAAAAACAGGACTCTGAAAATTGAGTGTTTGGCTTATAAGCATTTGAAAGTTTCACCTCTTGTAATGGCAATAGCCAAATGCATAAGACACTAGGCACTGGAGAAACACAAACCTTTACAATTTTAGTTTTTTTTTAATGTATATCAAAATTATTTTATTATTTTACCATATCATTAGCATTATTATTACTATTATTATTCCTTGAGTTTAAATGTTATAAAACAACATATTAAAAAAATATTCAGATATGGTGATACTAGCATATTTGAAGTGTAACAGATGTGAGAGTGTGAAAAAATTGTTCATAACATTAACTATTAAAAAAAATGCTGCAACTATGCTACTCTATTTTCATATCAGCCTTGTTTTTTTTTTTTTGTCCATTTGCAGTAATGTCTAAAGAAGGGGTGGCCAACAGTATTTGCCTCTGGGCCAAATTGGAAAGAAAACTTTTTCCACGGACCAAACCAGAGGCTGTCCTAGGAAAATTTTGAGGTAGTGCAAGATCTCATTGTGGTGTCACCCCGTAGAGACTAAATTGTAGATAGAGATTACAAATACATTTTTCACATTATCAACATGTGGCGGTATGCCATGTCTTTGTAAATAGGGGTAGATTTAAGTTTTATTTCTCCTAAATTCCTTTGTCTTTAATGTCTGTTTCTAGAACTTTCTAATCTATTCCTTTTCTGTGGGTGGGGGACGACCTTTGTCCAAGGACAAAAGGAGAAGACAAAAGGGGACATTAAGAAGCCCTGAGGCCATCAGGAAAACGAACAAGACACTTTCGGGTCAGTGTCCGAGGTGTACAGACGTAGGAAACAGCAAGCTAAAGGTTTGTCACCTAGTGGGACAAACGGAGAAAGCTTGGAAGTCGTCTGCGAATGGACGAAAATTAGAAAGACACCCAGATTAAGACTTCAAGAAAAACGCTCTCGAATTCTCAAGAGACGGAATCAAGAGGAAGGAAATTGAGTTAATTCAAGTACCGATATAGAGAAGATCGAAGACTCCCAAGTTTACCCAGGTACCCCCACAAATCTGTCCTTTATACTTGTCTCTTCTCTTCGTATCTCTTAATTTCTTCACCCTTCTTCCTTAGCATATAAGTTAGATTAAGGTAGATTTAAGTTAGTTGTAGTATTTCAAATCGTAATTTTGCATTGTCGCGAGCACGTGTCTCCTGCCTGTGAAAGCATAGAATTTTGTCGGATGGCTTTGAACTTGTGTGCGTACTATAGTTTGGGATCAAGTGTGTTTAGTGTAAACGAACCAGGTGTACGAAGGACCACGTAACTGTAGTTAAATAAAAATCCTGTTTAATTTATAGTTACTTCTTTGTCATCCTTTTTTTTGTCCTCCACACCACCACAAACATTCTACGCTGTACTTAAGAGAATGGCTTGTGAGCACTAAGATTGACTTTACTTTACCGATAGACTTATTACATCACCACAGGTCATCAAATTAGAATTAGAAAAGCACTATTTTATTTTTAGAATGCATCTTGGACATGGAGTCCCTCATCAACTTTTTGCTACAAAACATAATAGGAAGTTAACAATTTTTATAAAAAGACCGTGATTGACAGAGATGAATAAAGAATGTGGACTTACATTTGACATGTGGATTCGATGCGTTGAAAATTAATTAAAAGACTAAGCATGCGATAAAACAAAATTTTCCACTAAAAAATGGTAATGTTGATACAATAACATAATAATAAACTGAGGTTCTGGTAAAACAGTAAAGT